GCTGTAGAGTACCAGTGTAGACAAGCCCTAAGATGGCATTGGGGAAAGGTGTGCATTACAATAGAGTGCTCTGAAGATGTAAAGGATGTAAAGTGGGTCAAACCCTAACAGCCTGTTTGTTTTGACATGGACAAATCTCCCTGAAGGCACTGGGAGTTTTGCCTGAGTGCGGGTTACGAGATTTCTCCTCTGACTATGATTTTAAGAGACATGTGTGGGTGGGTGTGTGGGCGGTGGTGCTCTTGACTAAGGAAAAAAAATCTCCATTATAATATAAACAAGAGAGATCACGATTGCCAGCTGCATTCAGGGAAGGCTCTCCGCGCTGATTTAGATTCATTTAAAGGGTTGCTTGTTTGTATTAATTGGGTTACAAATGTTTTCAAATGGATTCCTGGAACTGCTGAATATAAGACTGAAGTTCATGCTGCCAGCCCTTGAATTGGATTCTGCACAGTGCCAAAGGCTGCTCTGCTTTTATCAGTCCTGTTTTTATGGACAATGGCAATTCAACAAGGAATCATGACTCTCAAATGCCTAGAGAGCGCCTGGAAGTTTTAAAATAGAAATCACTTGAAGTTCCTGGATGAACTTTCATTAGAAGGCAAGTCAACCTAAGCTGAACATAGAGGGTCTGGCCTTCTAGTGCACTCAGGGAAGGATTTGACAATCAATAGTTCAGACGCTCACGTCAGAGACTATTTGCACGTTGCAGTTTTGTCTTATACAGAGTGGCATGTGCTTCCTTCTGTTTAGAGAAAGCAGCACAAAGGATGTCATCGTCCAATAAAGCAGGTTTAGTTTCCTGCTCCTGGTTTCCCTACAAAAACTGTGCATATTTTAAAAGTTTTGTGTTGTTGTCCCAACACATTTTATCCCCTTCAGCACAGATACCCATTTCCCTTCCCAGATGGAATTATCTTCTTTCCATTGTGGGACTGCTGAGGAATCAGGTCCTAAGAAGCACAGCCCTTTGCTTTCCAGCATCCTGGAGCATGTCACTCAAGTCCTGCTTTACATTCCCCACAGACATCTTACTTTGTTCATGTTGCTCCCGGAATAGCAGTTGGCGGAAGGATTCAGCACCAATTACTAGGGGAGCCAAAGGGTTCAGGGGCGGAGGGAAAGGAGTTTGAAGCCCCTACTGTTTGAGAGTAGTGGTGTGGCAGGCCTTGTCATTGATGGGAAGTGTTTGGCTGCTGGGGGAAGCAGGAGTGGGAGCAGAGACGTGCTGCAGGCTGGGGCAATGGACACAAACCCCCAAGAGCACAATATTCCTATCGTACTGCGTTTCTTCTTGCATCTACATCAGAAGTATGAGGCCCGCCCTCTGCTGTTTCACTCTCTCCTATTTCCTCAGGCGGGTTTTAACTAGTCAGGTTAGTTTCAATGTTGAATTGGGAGATTGTAACCAGCTCCTGGCTCAGCTCCCTAAAGACAAAAGAAGAACTAAAAGCAGCTCATCTCTGTCTCTAGCGCTGCTGAGTGAGGAAGCCAGGGAGAAGTGCTAGCTGCTCTTTAAAGCACCCCCCTAGCCCTCTTTCTGCAGTGACACTTAAAAGGGAAACTGCTGCTTAGCTTTAGAAAGCCAAGTGCGGAGTGGGTTTAAGGCCTCACAGGATCATACTGTGCATCTCCACTGTCCCAGATTCCAGACCTAAATTTGATTCCATTGCTTATAAACCTGGGGTTACTGCATCTTCATTACCAACATTTATTTACATCTGAAATGCTGAATCATAAACTTGAGGCTAGAAAACAATACTTGGAGTGCCAATGAATTCAATCCCACATGCTTTTGGTAACACAGCTGGAATTTCAGAGTATCGGGTCTGCTGCAGTAACTAATAAATCAGCTGTTCACTGTGTCAAAACTAAGCTGCTAATTGTATTGTACTCCACAGTTATGCTTAAAACTATCTGGGCTGGCCATGTAGCTGAGATTCTGACTCTGCAATCTTTGCCTTCACCAACCATGATGATGAGAGATAACGGAAGAGGTAATATGGTAATAAGGCAGTATTTAACCTTAAATATCCTATCAGTTAGGCAAACAGTGATCCTTGTTAGAAAGGATTAAATAGGCTCTGTTGACTCACTGATACAGGTCACATTTCCCTATTTAAATGTAAGTGAGATTGGGATAGCTCTTTGTGGAGAGGATCTAGGGTGTGGACAGAACAGTCCTGAGGGAGGAACCATAGTAACAGCCACATCTGGGAAGAAAGTCTGAACTGAACTGAAATGTATTGTTGTTTCCTTCATTAATGTAGCCAGGCTCCAAGATGGGGATGAGCTTGGACTGGACAAAGCAAGATTGGAAGAATGAGAATTTCCATTGCTCTACAGATAAACAATGTGTAATGAATACGAAGACACAGACACTGAAAAGGACAGGTGACTGATTCAGAGCAATCTAGATTGCATGGTAACTGAGCGCAAGCAAACAATGCGTTTTAATATGGCTGGATGTAAACATAGCCATCTAGGAACAAAGAACATAGGCCATACTTCCAGGAAGAGGGACTCTATCCTGGGAAGTAGTGACTCTGAAAAAGATTTTGGAGTCATGGTGGCTAACCGGCTGAACATGAGGTCCCAGTGTGACACTGTGACCACAAGAGCTAATGCGATCCTGGGATGCACAAATAGGTGAATCTTGAGTAGGAGAAGAGAGGTTATTTTACCTCTGTATTTGGCTCTGGTGCGACCACTGCTGGAATACCGGTTCTGGTGCCCACAATTCAAGAAGGATGTTAATAAATTGGAGAGGATTCAGAGAAGAGCCATGAGAATGATTAAAGGATTAGAAAATATGCTGTATAGTGCTACGCTACATAGATCGAGCTCCTTGAGTCTAACAAAGAGAAAGTTAAGAGGTGACTTGATTACAGTCTATAAGTACCTACATGGGGAAAAAATATTTAATAATGGGGTCTTCAGTCTAGCAGAGAAAGTATAACATGATCCAATGGCTAGAAGTTGAACCTAGAAAATTAAGACATAAAATAAGGGTAAATTTTTAACAGTGAGCATAATTAACCACTGGAACAATTTACCAAGGCTTGTGGTGGATTCTCCATCACTGACCATTTTTAAGGCAAGATTTTCTAAAAAGATCTGCTCTAGGAATTGTTTTGGGGAAGTTCTCTGACCTGTGACATTCAGGAGGTCAGACTAGATGATCACAATGGTCCCGTCTGGCCTTAGAATCTATGAATCTACATTAAAGCAGTTTAAGATTCCCAGGAAACTAAAATATGATGAAACACCAAAGACTACCACACACTGATTTTTTCTTTTTGTAGTCTGCAAATTAATAGCTTTGCTTTTAGCTTAATATACTCTGACAAGATAGGGAATTTATTATCAGAAAGTTACTGAGGCTTTGCAAAAACAAGGTCTTATTGTTAGATCAAAGCTCTTACAATTAAGCCTTTTTCTTTGTGATCCCAGCAAACACAGCGAAGATAAGTGTGCATACACACAAAGGCTCTGGACTTGGAGAAAAGAATACTGGTTTTAATAGGCTGGTTTTGTTTGAGAATGCATGGCACAGAAGTTGCTTTTATGCTATTTATTTTACCCTGTTTTATGGTTAGTGAATTTATGATATATTAATATTTAAGTTTCTGGATGTTTATCAAGAGGTAGATAAATCCACAATATTGCACTTTCAGATTATCATTATTATTAACTGAAGCAAATGAGACCATATATTGTATTGTCGAAAAATTATTTCCATTCCACTGCATGAAATCAAAACACTCTTTTTTTCATAAACATCCACAAATATCACATTTTAAAGCTTAAATAGTAACCCAGCTGTAGATCAGTTGCCAATCATACTGTTTATGTCTCATAGTAATAATACTTTACACTTCTCTAGCCCCTTTCCTTAGAGGATAACAAAACACTTTATAAACAATAATTAAGCCGAACAACTGGAGCGGGTTGGCAATTTTTTTACAAAATGGTGGCGGGGGGTGAGTTGCTGATAATGCCAATTTATTGAAACTCAAACTGTCTGTGGGAAAGGGTCAGCTCCCAAGAATTCCCCAGCAAACCAAAAAAAATGTTTTGAAATTGTTGAAATGTCACATTACAATATTTGCTGAAATGAAAAGTAATGGGTTTCAATTTAATCAATTAACCTTTTAAAAGGAAATTTAATGCATAGTAAAAAAAGGTCAAAATCAAAACAAAACATTTCAGTTGACCCAAACCAATAGGTTTATCAGCTCATGAAAATTTGAGATTTCATATTTTCCTCCTGACTCAGGATGAGAAAAAATGTCTCGAAATCTTGAAAATCCTCTCAGGAGAAGAAAGCCATTTCCCCCCACCCCATAGCTATTAGTTTTGCCAACATCTCCCTGTGCCCCATTATGCTCCTCTATACATGGGCAGAACACTATCAGGTGGGAGAACTGAGAACATATACTGCACATTATAAAGTCAACGTACACCAATAGTTACGTACCTCGCAGCAGTATCTCAGTCTAGGGAGAAATGACAATAACTCACATCTGTCCATCTAAGGGACTTATATGCCCCCCACGCTGCCTTATCTAAGCGTCTCACAATCTTCCATGCATCCGATGAAGTGAGCTGTAGCTCACGAAAGCTCATGCTCAAATAAATTGGTTAGTCTCTAAGGTGCCACAAGTCCTCCTTTTCTTTTTGCGAATACAGACTAACATGGCTGTTACTCTGAAATCTTCCATGAGTTTATCCTCATATCATCCCTGTCAAGTGGGATTGTGCTATTATCCCTATTTTAGGGAGGGGAACTAGGGCACAGAGAGATGAAGTGATTTGCCCAAGGACACTCAGGAAGTCTGTGGCAGAGCCAAGATTTGAACCCAGACTTCCGGAATCCCAGTCCAGGACTAGAAGAACAAGTCCATCCTTCTGCTCTAAAGCAAGGGCCGCTACTATCAGATGGGTGAACATTGTCATAAGAACTGTACCACAATTGCCATTTCTCTGCTCTTTACCTGATCAGTGGCTGGTGTAACGCTACCAGTGAGGCATGTACTGTAACAGATATCACTGACAGGTGGAAATAGTCAAACATGACAGGAACATGGTGGTGCAAGCCTCTTCTTGGATGGAAGTGAAGACCCAAAGTACGGCTGCTTATCAAAGGGATTGCTGGAATGTCTCTCAACCTGAAAGGAGAGGTTTACAAGGGTTAGTGAAATCTTAAGTTGTCACAGTCCACAACGGCATTAAAGGCAGCAGACTGGGAGACTGCATGAGCTGAATTTTTATCACTTCATGGTGACAGTGTCAGCTACCGGAGCATTTACTCAGCTGATGCTTATCTCATAATTGTACTTGCAAGTAGCGGGGATGTAAATATTATTACTCTACAGTAAAAAACAGACATGACAGAATGCAAGAGCCCCATCCTGGGTCTGCCAGACAAGCAGCAATCTCCTTCCTGTACACCACTCCTGTACACTCACACTAGGGGAAAGCTTTGGGGTAGTAGGGGAGAAGTGCAGGTAGCAGGTTGACCGGCGAATTCAAATTTCAGCACCCAGAATTTAGCACTAATCTGGATGTGTAGCACCAGACAGTCTGCTTTGCCTCAGGGGAATGGCAATAGTGAAAGAGCAGACCTGTTCCTGGAGGGTTTTAAAGACCACTCAGAGCATCCTTGGATGAACAGAGTTGTTTCATTGAGACTTGTATAACTGTCCCTACCAAAATACCACGATAGAAACTTTTCTTTAAAAAAGGCCTGGTGAACAATTCTTCAGATTACAACAATAGTAAAGTGAAATAAATGCACTAGATTATTTCTGATGAATTGCAATTCATTTCTCCTCCAGGCCCTCCCCGCAGCCCTGATATGTTAAAGCACTGCCCCCCACCCCCAGCCTGCGATAACACAGCTCTTCTTTCATCTACACCTACACCAGAAGCTAAATGGAAATGGCGCACTGAGCTCCGCTGTAAGTGCCTTGTGGGGCAGTGTATAAAGTGACTTGGGGCCAAATTAAGTGTGAAGCCCAACTCCAAGGAGCTCACTGTGGACCTCACCTAACTTCTGCTGAAGTCACTGGAAGACTTTTCAATTACCTCAATAGGCCCTGAGAGGCTTCTTCAAGCACAGCTACAAGCGTGGTTTGGCAAGACCGGTGAACTAGGAGTAATGCAAAGCTCCTGTATCCAGGGCTGATCCTCTTCCCATTTAAGTTAATGGCAAAACTCTCATTGATTTTAGTGGGATAGGATCAGGCTCTTAGCCCATACACACAGAGGATGAGATTTTCCAACCGTGCTCAGCCTTGACCTAACTCTGGCCCTGACTCAGAAAAGCACTAGACATCTGCTTAAGTTCATCCTTATCCAGGACAACGCTGAAGCATATCCGGAAAAGCAACGCTTTCCCAAATTGTGGCCCCTGGTCCCACTGAGTGAATGGGAAAACTCCTGTTGACTGCCATGGTAGCAGAGTTAGAGGAGTGCCAAGCACCTCTGAAAATTCCACCCTTAAAATAGAAAACCTCTTACTGCAAGGGGAGGGATAAGAAAAATGCCCTTGGTGGGGGAGAGGTATGGGGGAAGGGAGGAAGAAGAATGGGCAGCCACCTCTGCAAGGGAGACAGAAGCCAAATCAGAGCTCTCCAGTTTCCGAAAGACCCTTTAACTTTCACTGAATTCACGTTACACGAAGACAGAGAGTCCCTACAATATCCATGGAGCTTTAAAACAGCACTCACTGTTGTTCACTATCAGTAAAGTGCAGGTCCAACTTGAGCTGAAAATCTCCTTCGCTTAATGCATCTTCCACCTGCAAAGAACAGAAGGGCTGAGTTACCTGTGTAAGCCAGCTCACACAAAACCCAAGCGCAAAGCAATATTTTTGTCTGACAAAGAGAGTGCAAAGAAATGCAGGAGCGGTGTGAGAAAGCTGCTGAAGTGCATACATAGAACATCTGGGCAATATAACTGGTCAGCTACAGCAGGATTCAGAGCTACTGTCCGGCTTTAGACATACAAATACACCGTTGCTCTGAAATGAGACTAAGTTTTGATGGCGTTAGCAGCAAGTAAACTTTCACTGAATGGAACATGCTTCAGAATGCAGAAGGAACACACATTATAAACTTTGCGTCCGGCTTTCAAACAGCTTCAGAGGTGTTCAGAGAAGGGCTGTTCAGTCATAAGGTTTTGGCTCATCTCTACTCAAAAAAGTATGTAGAACAGGTATTGGCAACCCTTGGCATGCGGCACGTCAGGGAAATCTGCTGGAGGGCTGGGACGGTTTGTTTACCTGCAGCATGTACAGGTTCGGCCGATCGCAGCTCCCACTGGCCACAGTTCGCCGTTCCAGGCCAATGGGGGCTGTGGGAAGCAGCCTGAGCCAAGGGATGTGCTGGCTGCCGCTTCCCGCAACCCTCATTGGCCTGGAATGGTGAACTACGGCCAGTGGGAGCTGTAAACAGCCAAACCTGCAGACGCTGCAGGTAAACAAACTGTCCCGGCCTGTCAGCGGATTTCCCTGACGGGCTGCGTGCCAAACGTTGCTGATCCCGGATGTAAAACATACTGGTTCAGACATGTTAATTTCCTATTATTTTACACTCAGAAATTTAAGAAGTTTGGTGAACTATTGTCATTAGTATATAAAATTGATATTATTTGTATTGTAGTAATGCCCAGGAGCCATAGTCATGAACCAGGACCCCATTGTGCTAAGTACTGTACCAAACAGAGAACAAAAAGTCAGTCCCTCACCCAACGAGCTGACAATCTAAATAAACCACAGAAATTAGAGACGGAAAAGTCCTAGTAGCTCATCTAGTCCAAACTCTGCCAGTGAAAGATTGTTCCACTGTGACAGACTGTACCCTCATGTTCATCCTTTTTACAAGACTATGATAATTTTTTGTACAAAATATGCCTTGTGAGGTATAATTTGAAAACTCATAATTCGCTGAACATTACTGTCTTGGTGAAATGTGTATGTCAGCATTGTATGTAAAGTTATAAAATTCTTTTGTATGATGTCAGTAAGGCATATTTTAAATCTGAGGAAGCAGCCCAGACCAGTTCCTCAGAGACAAAGAGCTAGCCATCACCTCAGCCAGGTGTCAGCATAGTCAAAAAGACTGTCACCAGATTAAGCAGCCATTCTTTGGCAGGAAGAAGGGTGTGAGTGAGAAATTTACATGTTGGCAGACAGACTTGCTGTCACCTGAACCCCAGCTGGAGATGATTCTCAAAGAGAAGAAATGATAAAAGAAGGGAGAACAGAGGACTCAAATCACCTCTCTCCCTTCATTTCTACTCACAGCATCAACAATGTTTGAAAGAGAAAGGAGGGAATTGAACTGCGGGAGGGGTCCTGGTTGAAAAATGCAGCCAGACTGCTGTGAAAAAACGGTGAGAGAAATCCTATTGCTTTAAGTCCACTTAGCTTGTTAAATCAGGTATTAGTTTTTCTTTTCTCTTTTATTTCTTTGTAACCAATTCTGATTTTTGTGCCTCGTTACTTGTAATCCCTTAAAATCTATCTTTCTGTAGTTAATAAACTTGTTTTATTGTTTTAACTAAGCTAGTATATTTGGACTGAACCAATGGAGGGAACCTCCAATGGTTTGGGAACCTCCATTAGCTATAATAGGGTTTGTGCATATCATTTTCTATTAATGAAATGACAGAGTTTATAGGAGCTTGTATTGTCCAAGAGGGAGCTGGGCAGTACAAGATGCACATTTCTGGGGACAAGTCTGGGACTGAGCATTTGCTGGTGTCACTCTGCACTATAATTCAGGAGTAACTAGCTAGAGCACTCATATCATTCAGACTGGAGGGATGCTTCATGCTAAAGGCTGTTTATGAACAGGCCAGGAGTGGTTGTTCTCACAGCAAAGCAGTGTAAAAGGCAGCCCAGGTTGGAAAATTGACAGGACACAGCTGTTCAACAGTCCAAATTGAGGAATGTCACACCCACCCAGAACATTTGTAGTGTTTTATCTCCTCCAAGTTTAGATGTTCCAAGTAATGGAAAGATCAACTTGCTGTTTAGGAGATTATTAGTCTGAATTTTATTGTGAATTTACTGAGAGCAAGGATTAGTTTTTCTTCTGCATTCATATAGAACCATGAACTGTGGTGGTTCTCAATCAATAACTACTGCAGAGTCCAATTACTGACAAAACAATCATAAATTAAATAGTTAATTCTGAGGTAATATCTTTTATTGGACCACCTTCTACTAGTGGAAGAGACAAGCTTTTGAGCCTACACAGAGCTCTTTAGGTCTGGGAAAGATACTCCGAGCATCACAGCTAAATACAAAGTGGAACACATTGTTTAGCAGAAGGAGTTCAAACATGTTGCAAGGCACCATTCAAGACTCTGCAGTCATAGGACAAAGAAGGGTTAGTGGGTTACAGAATGTAAACTCAAAAGCTTGTCTCTTTCACAAACAGAAATTGGTCCAATAAAAGATATTACCTCACCTACCTTGTGTCTCTAGTATCTTGGGACCAATATGGCTACAACACTGCAAACAGTTAACCCCTTAGTCTTTATAGTTAACATCCCAATGAGATTAGAAGGGAGTTCATACCTCTCAGAGCCTTTGTTACAGGCTCTCTGAAGACTCAGGAAGAACGGACTTTATCGGTTTGCAATTGGCTCACATTAGGAAGATTTGAGTTGCAAAACATGAGGGGTAAAAAAATTTAAGGAAAGCTTAGATTGTGCAGAATCTGGATGTACTAAGCAGGCCAAATAAATACACCATTTGGGCCAGATCTGGCCAGCAAACGGAGTGTTTGACACCCTCATCTAATAGAGCTCACCATCAGGAAGTTTTTCCTGATATTTTATTGTTAATAAAAGAATTTGAATTTGTTTTTATGAAAAAGAAAGTAAGATGAGCTGCAAGTTAATTTATATTAACCTTGGAAAGAATGGATCTAGCAGTGCACCATATAGTTTGACACAATTAAAGCCAATCGAAATACATGCTAAAAATGAAAGCAGAATCTAATCTCTAACAATTGTCTGTTTCACTTTTCTCAACCTGCAATGCAATGTTAGTAGAGTTTAGAACAATGTCTTACATTTAGTTTTAGTTAACTGAAATACAAGCAGAAATCAGTTCTTCTATTACTAAAATGCAGCTACTTCTCAGGTACAACACAATGACTGTTTAACAGACCATAGCAATGCAGCATAGAAGCTGAAGAAGGTGTTACTGGTTAGTGTACCCTGTCCTCTACTTGAAAGAAAAAGAACTACTCCTCTGTGTATAATAATAGATTCTCTGCAATGACATTGCTTTACACCAGCATACTGTAGCATGTACTCAGCTCCTTGCAGCAAAAGGTCTTGTATCAGTAACCCACTAAAGACATTTCAAAGGCACCAGACCTACACAGATATGCATGAATCATATGATACCTGGTTTAACATTTGCTTTAACTACATCTTGCAAAGGTGAAACAACATATTTTTATGTGCATGCGCGTGTGTGTTGGGGGTGGGGGGGGAGGTGGGGGAGAAATAATTTAGAATTCAAGGAGTTAGCGTTGTCATAATGATCAAAGTAAAGGTACTTAAACCCTCCCAAAGTAATCTGTTATTTTGCAGTGCAGCATATGATAGCTCTTGGTGGGACCTGAGATGACGAAATTCCAGCCTCTACATATTGAATATTTGTCTTGAAATACCTGCAAGCATGTTTATCAAAACAAGACTTTTTTTTTAAAAAAAGCGTATTGTTGTTGCTAAAACTCAAATCACAGTCACTGCTGGATACAAAGGAAATAATTATTATACAGCAAAGTTCTTGGAATTGTAGTCTGCGTTTAAACTAGGGATTCAATCCACGGACTGTGCCTGAGACAGATCAAGTCTCATCCACCAAGTGTGGATGAAATTTGGCATCTGATTTTAAGAGATGTTGAGCTGCTACTCCCATTGAAATCAGCAAGAGTTACCAGAAGAATGAGAACTTACAAGATAAGATAGTACAAAGTGCTGTCCATTCAATGGAATATTTTCATTTCAATTTTCCCAATGCAAAAAATGAAAAAAAAATCAGCAAATCAAAATATTCCTATGGGAAATTTCAATTCTGCAGACGCTGCATTTATTCCAATAGAAAGTCCTGACCAGCTCTACATCAATATAACCCCATTGACTACAACAGGCTTTAGATCAGATTCTTTCTCCAGTGTAAATGAGGTCAGAATCAGGCTCAAGGAGTTCTAGTGTAGCCTTTCCCTACAACAGCCCAACTGTTTCCCACAACTCCCAGCCATGATGGTTGGCACTAAAGATACAGTGGAGGGGCAAATGTGGCACACAGCAGGGAACAGCAAGGATTAAATGGCTACTCCTCACTATGTGATGTGACGTGCACATGACTAGCTCTGAAACAGGGAGAGCCTACTTGAAATGTCTTTTCCACCCTGATGACTTTAGATACCTCCAAAACACCTAAATACCTTCAAAAATCTGGGCCTTGGGGCCTTTATCCAGGGATAGGCTTTCCTTTCACATCAATAATCTGTTGATCATGCCCTCAAGTTTTAGTGTAACACAGTTGCTTTGGAATTCTATATAAACACTTAGGTGTATATTCTCCTCTGGAAGACATCTTTAAAAGGCAGCTTACAAATCAAAAAAGTAAGCCAATGGAAATTCTATTTCCCTATGGCCAATTTGAGCAATTGGTGCTGTGTGCCTCCAATACGCAGGTTGAGAGAACAGAACCAGCTAAAAATTGACTGTAAGGAATCCCAGATTCATGTCGGGTAGCTCTACTCTACCATCTCACCCCAGAATGCATCATTCAGTCCTATCACCATTTACTGAAGAGCATGGAACCAACTTTTTATTATTAATAACAACATAAGTAGTATTATTATTATTATTATGTAAAAAGAAACTGAAAACCATGAGAAAATAAATTAGGCTCCTTTGTAACCCTGTGGGCTTATTCTACCTCACACCATAATTTCCAATAAAATCAAAGAATGATGCATTCTGGGATATTAGAATGAGGCAGAGCCAACTGCCACAACACTAGAGAGTTTTAAAGAGGCATATTTAAATGATGATTGGTGCACTCATTACCCCTCCAAGCCTCATAATTGGGGGCATCTTCCACCTACTGCTGGACTCCAGAGTTATTTCCAGCTTTCTAAGTGCAAAGGATATTTAAGCTTCTCTTGGGTTATGGAAACAGATCACAAGGAGAGACTCTACCCAAAATCTACCCAATATTACTATTTTTTTGTACTGAGTACACAGTTAGCAGCCTATCCTCTAGATGGAATTACTCAAACATCGTTTGGCCTTGCACACAGCTTGTTTATTGGAATATTTTATAAACCAAGCTCCGACAGCCAAAATGCACAGAGGATAGTGACTCAAGCACCCAAGTCGCCCAGTCTGACTTTCTAACTAATTTTATTGGTCATTGATCAGCTCTGTGCCCCGGTGACTCTTCCACCCTTATTCATGCAGAGTAGGACCTTCCTCCACTGCTTGCAAAGCTAGGCGCTACTTGATTGGAGGAAGGCTGGCAGGATGCGGTTCTATCATGTGATAAATAAGCTGTCAAACAAAGGAATGAAAAGTACCAAAGTTTCTGAGTGACAAAGTGATTGTTACTTATTATTTACAGAGTGCCAGCAGTATATCCGGTGACGTGTAAATATATAAGTCGACATGGGGTCTGATTCTTCTTTCATTTACTCCTGAATTGCTCTGGTGTGACTTCAGTGAAGACAACGGAGTTGGTATCTGTGTAAAGCCAGTGTGCGAGTGGCGAATCAGGCCCCTGTCACTTCTTAGGAGCTTATTATCTAAACCACGCTCCACACAACACATCAGGCACAGGGATGAGTTTGAGCTGGTGTGAGGAATCTGGCAGGATCATTTTCATTTTTGGCAGGAAAAACTGTCCCAAATGCTAATACAGCAGTCAGCATGAAGCCACTCAGCCCAGTGGAAGTCACTGTAACTTGGGGAGAGAGACTGATTAATGACAGATTTTGCATCATGAGGGTAAATTAATTTGCAGCTAAATTTGTTAGAATTGTTTTCTGTCAAATTTCACAATATGTGAAAGGAGGGTATTTTTTCCTTCCTTCACAGTTCATGATTGTCCATTTCTCATATAAGCATACATAAAGCTAGAAACAAAATGTTTTAGGAGAGAACACAGGAGATCAATCCCACGGTAAGAATAGAGGAGAGGAAGCAGTTCAAATGAGCTTACATTAGGTTTTTCTAGTAGCTTTAACTAAAACAGACCTTATACCATAACTGTTTTTAAAGCTACTTGTACGTTCAGATAAGCCAATGCCAGAACACTGAATCTGCTCTTCCTTGAATTTCAGGATATTAAGAGAAGCAGGGGAGGGGAAGAGGTTGAACTGCCAGTCCCAAACCTAACCCGGGGAATTTATTCCAGATTGTCTGCAGGACCAGAAGGGTCTTATTTTCTGAATTTCTGTAAGAGCAGCTGATCTCTTGAGATCTTCATCGTTACTGAGAGCAGGTATGAATGACAGCATTGAATGATAGTCCTTGTACAGAGGCAACATAGGGATGGGCATACCAATCAGACTGTATGTGTAAACAACGTGGGTGGAAGGCACAAAGAACATGCATCTCCACGCTGTGAAAGGATAAAGCAGAATTGCGCAGCCGGCTCTCTAGGGAGCACAGGGATTGCTCCTTCCCTAGTGCCCACAGGGCTCACAAACCATCCAAGAGAGAAGGTGGGGCCATGACCCTGCTCCCCCCAACCTCCCAATAGCAGCCAGGTCTGGGTGTACCAAGTGGGGAAAAAGGTTGTACTAGCCAAAAGGACGCTGCAGACTGCACACTCCCCATGTGCCCCAAGAAGCTCCAAGAGAGATGGAGCAGGTCCTCCAGTGCTGGCTGGAGCACAGATGACATGACCAGCCATCAGTTTCAACTCTGTTCTAGAATCCAGTTGAAAGCCTGACATCTGGATACCACCTGCACATTATAACAGAAAAGTATCCATTTTATTCACATCCAATGAAAACTCACCCTCTCGCCATCTAGGAGTAAGTGGACCCTGAAGTTCATCGATTCGTTCATAACAATCTCTTCGTTCCTGTATAAGATCTGAAATATTCTACTGTGCACGCTGTTCTCATGAACGCAGGCTGAAGAGAGGCTAGAGTCACCTGCACAAAACACAGACAGAGCATGGCTTTGGATTTTTGCAAAGAGATCATTTTCTAGCTTACATTTCAGCTTCCAGGATTAATTAGGCCCATTGTATTTATATTTGTAATTACACACTCGCATTCCTAATAATTAATGTTAATTGAGCATAATGTTGTTGCAGGATAATGGTCCCCTGCTGAGGCATTTAAAGAAAACAAAGCTGCAGCAGGCAGGCTGCTTTTTAAAGGAGGACACTGACATTGTTTCTAATGATGGAGATGCCCTGTAAGGTTCTCCTGAGAGACTTAGGATACTTAAGCAGCTCATCAGAACCCTATCCAAGTGACTTGGAATCTGTAAAATTTGTCTGGGTACCTTCTGAGAAAGCAGATACATCCATGGAATACCATGGCTGGGGCAGAAATGACAGTTCAGCTGTCCCCTTTTTGCTCTAGGCTAAAACATAGAAGTGCAATGACACCACAAGATAAGAACACAATGAAAGGAAAAGATGTCTACACTTTTCCTAACCTCCACAAATTCTGTGGAATCCTTGGAACACTGAGCATATGACAGCTGCCCTCTTGGGTGACGCACCGGGAACCTGCAGAGCTAAAAGCATGAGTTGCTACAGTCTGAGGTAAAGATGCTCTCTAGTTAGGGCTATAACAGACTCACATCCAAGTAACAGACTGACTTAGCAGTCTATAGGGCCAGCATGCCCAGTCGCTGATCGAAGGGTCTCTGGTGTTCAGAGACTTTCAAGGTTGTATCATAATTTTGTATCAATATCCTCTAGTCATTATACTTCTATTGCTTAGGTGCAACCACGTCCCTGCAAAGCTTCCTCCCATCCAGCCCTACCCAAAGCCATTCTGTGACAATGTGAACTTTAAAAACATTATTCTTGAGCACAGGACTGGCCCTATAGGTTTTGTCACCTAGGGTAGAAAACATTTTCAATGCCCCATCCCTAACCCTGCTCAAAATGCACAAGCAAAAGCAATAATAACATCTGTCAAGAAAAAACAAGTGGACCAACCCCCCACCAAGGATTTGATACCCCTGAACACTGGTGCCCAGGGTAGCCACCCTGATTGCCCACCCCGAAGGTCACCCCAGCTCACATAAGTTCTGACTGGTGGTTTTCTGGAATATTATATTATTATTATTATTATTTATTTGTATTAGCAGCATGCTTAGAAGGCCCAGTCACAGGCCAGGACCCCATTGTGCTAGGAACTGTACAAAATTATCCTCATTGCTTCAAAGAATTTACAATCTAATTCAACAACTCTCTTGGCTTTCAAGCGAGTCTACTTAAAAGGTGCAGAAGTTTTGCTCCTGTAAAGAGAGGCAGAATTGAAAAACCTAAGTCTCTTATCCCTATTCCGGAAAGCACTCAGGCGTGTGCTTTTATGAACAGGAAAGGAGGTAAGCTAGAGTTTGAAATGCTTTCCTGAACTGGGAACTTTGTGCAGATGTTTTGTACTCATCACAGCTGCCAAATGAACAGAGCAGGCAACACTATGTCATTTGCAAACCCAAGGCTACAACTGCACCCATGCAAGCCGGGAGGTCTTAGGGAGCACTGGTTTGTGAAACTCTGATCAAAAGGACGTGGCACTGAGTGAATTCTGCTGAATGGAACACTGTTGATTTACTTCTCTCCAGTGGGTGGAAAATGTGTATACAATGTGCAGTCCATATCTCTGGCTACTACTATAGGGGGGCAGCATGGAGTATTTCCTATTCTCTATTTTATTTGCAAAAATTAAAATAAAAAGGGGGGAGTGGTATGGGAACTCCCTAAAAGCCAAGCATGTTGCCAGCCAGATAGGCAATGGAAAACCTGGTACTACAGCATAATAATCTTCATTGACTATTATTTAGCAGCAGTCTGTTTGGCCTGTACCACATACATAAATAAAGACAGCCCCACTGCCAAAATGTTTACTATCTAAAAGGGTTTATGGAGAAATATGAGTTATATACAGATCAGACCAAGTTCATTATTTACCAGGTCCATCTGGCTGAAACTTCAAACTACATACAAGTCAGTTTTCCAAACTCTGATTTTTATCAAGCACACTTGGGAATATACAAATTATTTCCTCTACCCAATGTCTTCCCATCAGGTACGCTGGACAGCTGTTGCTCATAAGTGTGGATAATACAAAAAAAAGCATATTAACTTTCTTGCACTACAGCTGTTCCAATAGAATGCTTGAGCCAGATGAACTCTTCAAAGGCATGCAGTCATATTTATTTTAATTTAAACCTCATCATTTTAGAGATACCTGGAAAATTATATTACAGACATAATGTATTCTTATTCCTATCTGACAGACAAAAGGGCTTTGCTGTTATTTGATTTGGATATTGATATACTGGTTCTCTTCGGAGATGGAAAGTTTAATGTAATTTTCATTTCAAACACATTCCTGCCCAGACCACTGCTAGTGGATAATTGGTTTAGAAGTTAGATTTGCATGGCGGCATTAGATCCACCGTTTTTATTGTGAAGGTTGAAGTCAAAGACAGCCAACAATGCCTAAGATTCTATACAATAAGCTGAATGGATCCAATGCCTCAGGACAATGTTCCATTCAGCTTTGAAATTCAACATGCCCTATGTTCACAGAGATCAGCATTCCTAGAGGGCTGCAGGGTTTCAGAGAGGAGAGTTACAATGAACTAGCAGACTAATCCCACAAAATGCTGAGCACCATCCACTCCCAACCTACTTCAGCGACTGCAGCCTTCGGCTCTGCATCCAACCCCATTCCAAAAAGTCACTATGTCAGAGTGTGATAGGAGTCCCCGTCGAGCAGTGTGTGGTGGCGTGCAGAATGCTCCGCCATGCTGTACGGGATGCTGGCATCCTGTCCCACATAGATACAGCAGAATGGCAGCATCATTGCTGTATCAAAGGCCCTCCACGTTGATGCTATATAACTATAAGAGTTTAGGCAGAAGACATGCATGCTGTTTTAAAGGTGAACTGACAGCCAGTCCGGCCCCTTGGGGTCCTTTATTTCTCCTGCTAGTATAGATGACATGGCTAACAGCTCAAGCATTATAAAGAACACAGCTCCTATTCTGTTGAGATGTTGGCAATCCTATCATTAGTGCCGAACATAGAAAATCAAGGGGCCTTAACTAGGGTTGCCAACTTTTCAATCGCACAAAACCAAATACCCCTGCCCTGCCCCATCCCTTCTCTGAGGTCCCACCCCAACTTGCTCCACCCCCTCCCTCTGCCACTTGCTCTCCCCACCCTCACTCACTTTCATCAGGGGGTTGGGATGCAGGAGGGGGTAAGGGCTCCAGCTGCAGGCTCTGGGGTAGGGCTAGAAATTAGGGGTTCAGGGGGGACTCCAGGCTGGGGCAGAGGGTTGGGGTGTTGTGGGGGTGTGGGCTCCAGAAGCGAGTTTGGGTGTGGGACGGGAATCCAGACTGGGGGAGATGGTTGGGGTGCAAGGCAGCCAGGGAGGCTTGCTGCAGTGCCCAGCGAATGGGAGCTGCAGAGCCAGCACTAGGGGCGTAGACAGAGCACTGAGCCTCCCTGGCCACTCATGCGTCTAGGGGCTGCAGGGACCTGGCAGCTGCTTCTGGGAGCCACACGGAGCTAGGGCAGATACTAAACCTGCCTTAGCCCCGGGCCTCTACTGCACTGCTGAACAGAGCTGCCAGGGTCCCTTTTCAACCGGGCATTCCAGGTGAAAACCGGACACCTGGCAACCCTAGCCTTAAATCCCACTAGGTTTCATTTGCCAATTTATCTGCGCAAATGGGAGGATTTTCATCATCAAATTCATTTTGGTATCAGGGGGGTAGCTTTGTTAGTCTGTATCCATAAAAACAACAAGGAGTCTGATGGCATCTTAAAGGTGAACAGATTTATTTGGGCTTAAGCTTTTGTGGGTAAAAAAAAACACTTCTTCAGATGCATGGAGTGAAAGTTACAGATGCAGGCATTATATACTGACATATGAAGAGAAGGGAGTTACCTCACAAGTGGAGAACCAGTACTGACAATGCCAATTCGATCAGGGTGGATGTAGTCCACTCCCAATAACCTCCTCATCAGTTATTGGGAGTGGACTACGGGAGATTATTGGGAGTGGACTACATCCACCCTGATCGAATTGGCCCTGTCAATACTGGTTCTCCACTTGTGAGGTAACTCCCTTCTCTTCATATGTCAGCTTTTACCCATGAAAGCTTATGCCCAAATAAATCTGTTAGTCTTTAAAGTGCCACCGGACTCCTTGTAATTCATTCTAGTGTTATAACTGCTCCCAGCTAGGGTGTGAATTTTTGGTACACTTCAGCTTGAATTTCATGCTGTGTGTGTAATGCACACATACATGTGCATGTGCACAGACAGACACACATTCCGCTTACTCTCCACAAAGTTAATAAAATACATAAATAAATTAAATGAAAATTAATAAAAAAAAATCTGGACAGAGACCAAGAAATGTTTTTTTTGTTCATTTTTTTTGAAGGAGGGGTTGATTTAATGCAAACCTCCTGGTGTTTAAAATAACCTCATGTACCTTTTGCGGGGTTCAGTCTCATGCAACTTCTGCAATTGGCAACACTGCACCAAGACAATTACTAAAAATGCTGAGACTGATCAGCCTCATGTCCTTACACAAAAGAACTCTTCTGTATTTTAAAATGTCCTGAACCCTTTTTCCCCCCCAAAGAAGGATTTTTTTTTTAATTCCTATGGTTTTGAATACAGTTAGCAGCCATTTAATTACTGCCTGCAAAGAAAAGCCACACATTTCCCATCATGCGAGGGGGCCAAATTAGGAAATAAACTACATAAAGCTTCATCAGATGTTACTCTTTTCTGCCTGGCAAGCTTGGCTCTCTGTCTCTTTCCCCTGTGGGGATAGCTAGTTTGTGTCCTGATCCTGCAAATGCTTCCACACATGTCAAATTTTAAGTATGTGAATCAAAGTCAATGGGATTACTCACATGCTTAAAGTTGGGCATGAGT